CCCACACCCACATTATAATCACACACCCACCCACACCTGAAACGATTTGTGAATTCACATATATAAGTAAAAGTAGAAAATAAGTATATGTAGTTGCATTGCAAAGAAATCTTTCAATTAAAATTTATTACTTTTCTGTATGAGTAACTGTAATCGAGCAATATTCTCTTCAGTTTCTTTCAAAATAGTATGCCCAACAGAGAAAAACTTTTGATACATATTTAACTGCTTTATATGATATTGAAGAGATTCGACATATTCATGTTTTTTTTCGAAATGGCGGCCAACAAAATACAGCGTCAGAGCAAGATTAGGATGACCATTAGGAAATAATTTTTCTCGCATATGAAGAGCTTCCATATAATACGAGAATGCTTCATCAAATTTCTCTTGGTCTGTTAAAACATTACCGACACTTACTAATAACGTTGCAATATCATCATGTTCTGGTGGGAGAAGCTTTTTGAACATAGCCAATGATTTCAAATGGTATTCTAAAGCTTCATTTAGCCTATTTTGTTTCCAATAAACAAGAGCAATACTATTTAAGCTAGCCGCTTTGTCTGTGTGGTCCATTGGAAACAGATGTTCTCTTATCTTAATAGACTTCTCATAGTAACACAATGCATCGCTAAATTCACCTTTGTCAAAAAATACATTACCCATGTTGTGTAGACTTTGCGCTGTTTCATGGTGCCAGACACCCAATATTTCTTCTCGAATTTGATAGCTTTTTCTTAAATAGAATAAAGCTTGATCATATTCTGTTTTTTTATAAAAAATAGTACCAATATTATTGAATAGTCTTGCTGAGTGTAATAATTGCGAGGGCGTTTTTTGTTCCTTAGCTTCAATCATTTTACCAGCAATTTCATAATTTAGAAGAGAATCATTATAAGCACCTACTAAGTGATAAATACGACCAATATGAAAATAAATCGAAGGTAAATCGATGACATAAGGATCAATTAAAATTTTTTTAAAATATTTCATTGCCTTTTCGTATTGACCCATATCAGTGAGGAGTTTACCGAATCGTAACTCGACAGACATATCTTCAAAATCTTTTTTATTTAAATCAATATATTCTTTTGCTAATGTTATACCGTCAGTCGATGCTTTCATTTTTATCACGTGAATGTTAGGTACTTTCCCAAGGTTAACAGACTGAATACGAAATGTGCTACCCAATGCGAACAAAACCTCTTCTTCGTCTGGGTAATCGCTAAAGTGAGCAATATCTGCAAAAATCACTGAATCGTCAACATCAGCCTGTGCTGTAATCTCACATTCAATTTCAAACAGAACACTCTGCTTGATATCTGTTTCCTTTGATGTACCAGCAAATATCAAAGCAATCTCTTTTGAGCGGCTTGTGGATAAAAATCCATTCATTGATATAAGTCTATTAACATTTTCTTTCATTTTTTCCAACTCTCCATAAAATAGTTTAGAGCCACGATACAGCATAATAATCTTTACATTTTTACTTTTCAACTTCGTATATTCTTGTGTAATTTTTAAATGAAGTTCGGCAATCAAGAAACGCAATGTATACATTTGTTCAGCGTCTTCCGTTCTTAATACTTTGTTAATTAATTTATAAACGAACGACTGTTTTGTATACCATTTAATAATGTCATTAGAGCAATATTTTTCATTAAAATGTTTGATTTTTCTCAGTTGATTATTGTTGTTTCGATAACGTTCAATACACATTTGAATTGTATCGGTTTTTGCTTGTTCATTGCGTGGCATTTTTATAATAATATCCGTAATCAGAAGAAACCATATGAACAAACCAGGTTCATTAGCTAAATCACGAATCGACTTCTGGTTATTATAAAAATAATATGTCGATTGTTGTTGTTGTTCAACTAGCGCAATATTTTCTTTAATACTTTGTATTAAATCATCAAATTCGTTGTATATTCCAATTAGTTTATAATATTGATCTAATAGATGATTATACTGTTCACTAGTTGCCCACATGAATATGGAATCCACCTGTCGTAATTGATGAATCAACGATACAATTCCAATAGAACACACATCAGAAGGAAAAATAAAAAATGTTTGTTTTTCCTTTGATAAGGAATTTATATATTCAAAACATGTATCCTGATCTGTGAAATATAGAATATGGTCAAAATTTTCTTTTAATATCCCGTACAATTTTATCGTCTCACAACGAGAACATTTATTATCACCAAAAAGTATCAGTATAAGACCATTTGTAGACGAACCTGCCTTGGAAATAGTTGTAAGATGTTCGTTCATGCTCTCCCGAACAGTTTTATATTTATCTTTTTCCAGCTTGTCAACCTTTCAGAAGATGCGAACTCGTTCTTGAATGATATACGTTCGATCAAAATCTGCGTCCGACAACGAAAGAATCTTTTCAACTAGATTTAATTGAAATATTCATATATTACACGAAATAAAACCTTCTTCAGCGCAACAATCTTTCGAGCCAATTTAATCGAAAAGTTCATATAAAATACGAAATACAATCTTCTTCAAGGGACGAATCTTTCGAGCGAACTCAATCGAAATATTAAAATAAAATAGGAAGTTAAATCTACTTCAGGAGAAGAATCTTTCGACCGGATTTGATCGAAATATTGATATAAAATGCGACATAAGAGCTTCTACTGCAGAAGCATCATTTCAACCGGAGGTAATCGAATTATTAATATAAAATACGAAATTAAATTTTCTTCAGCACCAAAGCCCTTGGCGCGGATTTAATCGAAATATTAGTAACAAATACGAAAAGAAATTTTCTACAGCAGAAGAATCTTTCGAGCGGATTTAATAAAAACATTAATACAAAATACGAAAAAAAGTCTTCTTTAGCAGAAGAATCTTTTCAACTGGATTTAATCGAACTATTAATATAAACTACGAAATAAAATCTTCTTCTGAAGAAGAATCTTTCGAGCGGATGTAATCGAAGTATTGATATTAAAGACAAAATAACAGCTTCTTCAAGAGAAGAATCTTTTCAACCGGATTTAATCGAAATATTAATAGAAAATACGAAATAAAATCTTCTTCAGCAGAAGAAGAATCTTTCCAGCGCATTTAATCGAAATATTAATCCAAAATACGAAATAGCAGCTTCTTCAAGAGAAGAGTCTTTCGGGCGGATCTAATAGAAATATTAATATAAAATACGAAACAAAATCTTGTTCTGCAGAAGAATCTTTTCAACTGGATTTAATCGAAGTATTAATATAAAATACGAAATAAAATTTTCTTTAGGAGAAGAGTCTTTCGGGCGGATTGAACCGAAATATTAGTATAGAATACGAAATAATAGCTTCTTGAACAAAAGAAGCTTTTCAAGCGGATTTAAGCGAAACATTCATGTATCAGAAAAAATTAAACCTCCTCCAGCGCAAAAATCTTTTAAAGAGGATCAGCGATCGTCTGGTGTGTCAGATAACGGATCATAAGTGCAATTATCCCACTGCGATCATATTTTATTCTGATAATAGGAAAAGGATCCTGCTGAAGCCGTTGTCCTACCCCGATCATCTCTTTCAGCCGGGTTCCCACAACTTTTGATTGCAGCTTGTTGTGTTCGCCGGATTCCGAGAAAATTCGGCGGAAAGCGACAGGTATTCAACCGGTGGATCGTTCCTTTGGAGAGTCAAATGCAAAAGTTTAAGCGAAATTAGTTTTGTGAATTATTTTGTTCCAAAATGATTTGTTGAAGAAATCCAAATAGTGATTTGAATAGCGGAT